TTCGCTGCTATCGTATTGCTGAGAATGCCTGGGCCTGGGCGTTCGAGCTGTTTAGGATGTTTGTTCAAGATGTAGATGCTTTGTTGTTCGGATTTCTTCTTGTGGCAGGGCTTGGATGAATCGAGCCATTGTCAGGCAGAATGAACTCTAGCAACTTACCTTGTGCGAACTGCACTGCACTCTTTCTCAGGTCCCCACTGAAGCAGAGAACGTGATGAAGGTTCAGCGTGAACATCCAGACATCGGCAATTTGGCAGAAGGGCGCTTGGGACACCAGGCTGCGGAAGGATTTCTTTGGTTCAAGTGCTGTGCGAGTGTAACTGGCAAACATTGACGCTTGCTGCCGTATCAGTTTTGCAACGTGTTGTCAGAGGCCTCCAGCCAAGCCATGCCCAGGTAAAGATGAAAGCCTTGCCTTTCCCATCAAAATCTTCAGCAGCTGGCTTAAAGTTGAAGATGCCATGAAATCATTCACCCCAGCACGCCCTGGTTGGCTTCTGCTTTTGATTGAGAAGACCCACCTTTTTTCTTTCGGGGTTGGGTTGTCGGATCAAGGGATTCGGCATCCGGCGACCAAGACGGGCTAGCGCTCAGAGTTGGTAGCGAAGTAGTTCTTCATCAGGCCAAGGCTGTAGTCAGGTTCATGGCAGTCAAGTCACGGGTAGTCTGCTGCTGCGTCACTGACATATCATGATACGTCAGAGTTTGGAAGCCAACGTACTCATGGCTGTGCTTCTGCTGCTCCGAGTGAGGGTGCCTATTGCTTATTTAAGCATCCGGCTTAAGACTTTGCCCTCGAGGCTGCTTGGATGAGGGCGTGAAGAAGCATGACCTCATCGCGGGGCACTTGGTTGTCGTGATGGCAGCAAACCCAATTGTAGACATATGCATAGATAATTCATCGAAAAGCCACAGCAGCGAACATGTTGCCAGTACCTGGACCAGTTCCTGCTTTTTTAAAAGCAGCGAAGCAAAATGCCGTTGATGAGGTCTCAAGACACTTAGGCCCTTTCAGTGCGTCAAGAAGACAAAACTGAACATGAAACCCTACCCGTGGCGAATTAGCGGCGAGTACGCCAGCTCCGTTCAATCGACCCAGGTGATGCGGAAGATCCCAGGGGAGCGTCTCGCCGAAGTGATCTGCCGGAAGTTCTACAACCACCAGGCCTCTGATCCAAATGCAATCGAGTCCGGTTGAGACGACCGATGTTGGACCAAACACTTCTCATGGCAGGGCGTGCGGAGTATGCCATGCCTGGAGATGGAAGGTGTTTTTGTTGTGCACCTGAAATTTTGTTAGAGTTATAAACGACGGGTGGCAACCTCCCTTCATCGGGCATGGGTGCATGGCAAAGTCTATTTAAATTTGCCCTCTGATAATCATGATGATCAAATCCGACCTGCAGCTACCCATGTCCGCTGCTCCCTCATTGCAGACCTCCCAAGGCCTTAAGCACGATCCCTGCCGCCGTTCCCATAGAATTCATCTTTTCATGAAATTTCAAGATGTTCGCTTTCCGGCGGCATGAACACTTGCACAGCTTTCTCTCTCACGTAGTTTCGATGGTTTATTACAGCGAGTGTCTTGCACGGGAACATATTTGGCCTTCCTTGTGGTGTTGCTGTCTCACAAATTGCTTCTACATCTGTGCGGCGTTGATACATGTGCAGTTGTCATTGCTGTACGTCATCGTCGAGAAGCTGGGCGCAGCTTTGGCTGTGTTCCATGAGCGCTACGGCAAGCAGCATGGGGACCGCTCAGTCCCTGCAACGTGTGAGTCTGTGTGAGAGGGAGGAGCGAGAAAACAGGTCGGAGATTTCTCTTCCGTTGCACGTGGTCCAGCCAATCGGTGGTATGTTTTGCCGCAGTTTTTTGGCGCCTCCTGAAAGGACTTCCAGCCATCGAACATCTTCTACGATGATGATTCGGACATGGTCTACTTCATCGTCATTTGGATGCAGAGACGAAGGGTTGAAGCTTTCGCCACCAACTGGCCTGAGAGCTGGCCTGAGCACTGAGCAACATGTTGAGTAGGGCGATGCTAAGTACTAGGACACGGCTGACCGGCCTGCAGCCTAAGTTTCAAGTCAGCACTTCAGAGACTTCAGACTTAAGCTGCTTTGAAAGGTGCCCACCCTCAGCCTGTAACAGTATGTAACACGTTTGTCAAAAGGACGTTGGCGGAATGGGCCAACCCACCTCTGACACAGACGTGGACCCTTGGGATGAACGAAGACAGGAGTCCCAGGAGGTTTCAGCAAATTGCCGGATCAGCTTGACATTCGCAGAGGTTTGTGTGACCCCACGCCTTTCCGAAGCCCCGCCTCCCCCCCTTTCATTCCCTTCTTTCAAGCGACCCCGCAGGGCCTTCGAATGTCCCGTCCTGGTGGAAATCTAGTGCCGCACCACCGCTTTGTCTCACCAAGGAGCACTTTCGAGGAGCGATGATGCTGCTGGCGGGTGCCTACAGCCCGACATTGCGGGGGGCTTGAGCTCTTAAGCACAGGTTTTGTTTCTGCAGGTTTCCCAGTGCACGAACGCAGAGCCGCAGAACCACACGGGCAAGCCGTGAGTTCAGTGGTTTGAGGCACGAAGAGCTTGCCGAAGCCTTTGAAAGAGGCTATGGGCCTGCCTGATGCTGACGTATCTGGCGTGACCTGGACCTGCATGCAGGATACAGGGCTTCTTTGGTGCAAGTTGTGCACAACGCGTGTCCTCAAGCTGCTTCCAGGCAGGAAAATTACAGGTAGAGCATCATGACATTTCCAGTCTCACAATCGCTAGGAGAAAGGCGTCATCTACTGGGGGCGGGGGGTGGGGGGGCCTGTGGTCCAGCAGTATTTCGGAAAACTCGTAGTAGCGTGATCTTGTCAGCTTCGTGAGGCTGAACCACATGGGTCCAGCAAAGCCTGCCGAATATTCAACCTATGCCCAAACTACATTCCAGGCAGGGGCTGCTTGAGAGGGTATCTGAAGATCCAACCGTGGATACCTATCCTATACTTGCAGTTCTCTGGGTTCTTCTCCAGGCCAGGCTTAGGTTGCACGTATCTTTGCGTGCCTCACAGCTAGTCGCGAGTCAATATTCATAGCAGAGTGCTTCCCAGATGCTTTTGCTCAATGCGCTTCTGAGGTGGAATTGGGGCAGAAGCCCCGTGTGCCTGAATGCATCCCAGTAGACGTAGGGCGGAAGTATGATTCTGTTATTTAGATTGCAGGGTACTGGCACATGTCCTCAAATGGCAGCCTCATTCTTCCGGGCCTTTTCCATATGAGTCCTCTGCCTCAATTGACATGTCATCCCGCCCTGCAGTATTGCGTTTCCGATAGTGTTGCATGCCAGCCATGAAAATCCCGCAGATCTTCATCCAAAAGTCCCCTGGTATCTGAATGTCTCTTCGATGTCATGGCTGGCGCTGGCACAGAACCTCTTGGAAGCGCCGTTTTCTGTCCGCAACACTCTGGTGAGTTTGGCAGTCAAGCAGCGCTCCAAATGGAAGAGCCTGGAGCATTTTTGCACAAAGCCTTTTGTCTGTGCTAGAGGTTTGTATGGTGGCAACGACTCAGGGCATCCGCTTTGTCCACTCCCGTGCCCTATCAATCATATCAACCTTCGGGCCAGAGACCTGCGGCCGTTTCACTTCGATCAGAGGGCACCCGACCCTTGTGAGGACATTCGAAGGCTGGTTCGCAAGCGGGTTGAATTTGGATTTTGCGTTGCTCATTCGGAAACAGAGATCTGCGGGTGTCCTTACTCTCCGGACCCATGGCTACCCATGGCTTTCATCAGCACGCGTGCTGTGAATGGCTTGGACACAAGACTTTTGGGCTTCAAGCCCTGAACCCTTGAACCCTAGCAGTCCCAACTGCCCCCTTCAAGATTCCCAGAGCAGCTGAGTCCCATTGGTGGAACCAAGCCCCCTGACCGACCTCGCGCCGCGCCGCGCCCAAGGAAAGAACACGAGATGCTGGGTCTAGTGGGAGCGTAAGCCCTTGCACTGCCCCATAACTGTGGGCCTAGATGCAAATGAAAGCACGAATCTCTGTTCTACTTCAGGTCCAAGAAGCTTGGGCCTGCCAACCTTTGTTTTTCTTGTGCCTTGAAGCACTGTTGAAACGGCCGGCCAACCTGGGGAGAGCTCTGCTTTTCACTTCCGGCGCCGCTGGTTTCATGGGCCCCTGGGCTGGGTGCTCATGACATTTTGTTAGGCCTCATGGAACGCAAGCCGGAGCATGTCAGAAGCCTCCCTGGGCGAGGACTCAAGAGCCGAACCAGCGAGGCCGGCACCTCTGCGAAGCTTTGGCTACTTTGGCTACTTTGGCTACTTTGGCTACTTTGGCTACTTTGGCTGGGAGGTCTTGATGGCTTTGACGGTCGCATATCGCCCTTGGAGTTGTTGCTTTTGGAGGAGGGGTCAACTCGAAAGGAGTTCCGGATGCAAAAAGGCTGGGGCCTTGTGACGCTCGGATACTGCAAGTCTGCAAGTAGCTCCCCCCTCCCCCCCCCCGGACATCCAAAGCGACAAGTCGATGTGCGTTGAGACGTTCCAGATGCTACACATGAGAAGCTCGTCCATGGTTTAGGGTTCGGGCTGAAGTGTTGACAGTGTTGAAATCAAGTGTGAGGTGTAGGACCTGGCAATTTCCAGGCTCGCGTGCTGGCTCAAGTCCAACAGGTCAATGGCATGTGGTGAGCAATCGTTTCCATCTTGCCTAGCTGACTTGCAGAGCCTGATTTCAGCGCCACTGAACATCTCGGTTGGCATTAAAAATTTAGGATGGTTCAGGTGGCACCTGAAGCCTGAAGAATTGGTTTCGACGCAGTCCGGAAAGCGTTGGTTTGGTAGCCCCGCTATCAACCCTGGACTTGGCGCCTTCTACATGGAACTTCCCTGCAGCCTTCTAGACTGAGCCATCACTCACAAGATTGCTGATGCTCTTGCGTTTTGCTTCCCTTGCAGCGTAGTTTTTCTTGGCAGACGCCAATGTCCTGCCCACAATGGGCGCCGGATGTATCCGCGCTACAGCTGCCGTGTCGCCGCTAGTCCGCACCAATGGGTTGATCGAAGGAGTTGACTGAGAGCACCACCTGCAGCTTCAATGTGGGAAAGCCGCTTCAACATTGAGACATCTTGTTTGCTTGCTGCCCCCAGGGATCGGTACAAGCTCACGATCGAGCCGCCCACGGACTGCGCCCCTGCCACGACCGCCACGCCTGCTACACCCAGTGCTGAGCCCGATACTCAAACGTCTTCAGAGGGGCTCAAGCTTATGCCATTTGAGTCAGCTCGTTCAAACAGATTCCTCGCTTTGCGACCTTGAGAGTTTTTGACATATCATGACATATCATATGCATGCTTTGCTACACGAGGCCATCAACACAAGTCACACCGCCCACCTCTCCATGCGGCAGCCGCTCTGTGGGAGAGCTCAAGGCAGATGGGTCGGGATGATGGCATTCTTTGCCATTTTTTGCAGGCAAGAGCTGGTCATTTGGTTTTTGGTGAAAGAAGTGCTAAGAGTGGGGTTGTCAAAAAGGTGTGCCGGGCACCTGAAGTCAAACCACTGCAGGGCCCCGATTGTAGGGTGCTTTAACCTTACATGCAAGTCTAATGTTTGCAGGCGTGTTTAGCTGCTGGTAATTAAGGCGAGAGTTTGGGCTTTCAAGTTTGTTTGTGTGTGTGTGTGTGTGTGTGTGTGTGTGTGTGTGTGTGTGTGTGTGTGTGTGTGTGTGTGTGTGTGTGTGTGTGTGTGTGTGTGTGTGTTGTGTGTGTGTGTGTTTGTGTGTTTGTGTGTGTTGTGTGTTTGTGTGTGTTGTGTGTTTGTGTGTGTTGTGTGTTTGTGTGTGTTTGTGTTTGTGTGTTTGTGTGT